ACCTGCCCCCAAGGATACGATTTCCACATCCTGATCTCTGTGGCCACCATGCGTTGTATCATTCCTTAAAATATTTCACTTTAAGAAATGATACTCTTTAAAATCTCATTTTCAAACTCATTGGAAAACTTAATAGCATTGTTCATACTATTTCCTTTAAAATCATTTCCTTTCAACATGTTTTGTTCTAAAACATTTTCATTGGCTAAAATCATTTAAAGTAAGCTAACAAGGATATGGACAAGAATATCCTACCTTTTGGATATCAAACATGTGGCTGTCTTCACGTAGTCCTAGCTTTGCTTGCCTTTGAGGCTCCAATTCCAATCGTGCCACTAACTTTCCCATCAAAATCAACAATTTAGAGTTTGATCTTTCTCACCAAACATTCTCGTTTAATTAGATGCAATTGTATCATATTAGTGTGCCATAGTTCAAAATCAATGTTCATAAAAAATTCTTAATTCAAATCATGATTCTTTGACAATGGAGATTTATTCCGGAGAATTGAATGGAAAACAAGGATTCATGTGGCTAATCCACTCATTTTGAGTTCCCAAATGAGGTTAGGTCGATCCCACATCGAATTTCGTGGTTAAAACAGGGTTTTGGGCTATTTAGGGTCGGGTTCAGTGGGAACCGGTCAACCGGTGACAGAGGAGTGTAACTCCACCGGTCGGCCGGTGGAGAGGTGACCGGTCGACCGGACCGGTCGACCTGTGGAAGGGTGACCGGTCGACCGGTGGGGAAAAGTCCTAGGGCCAGCCATGGCCGATTCGCAGGGGAACGAAGCCAAAACCTGTAAATTTTAGGTTCGATTTCGACATATTCTCAAGAGAAATGTATAGATCCAGTTTCAAATCAATAAATGGGGCCCAAAGAATCAAAAACTCCCAAATTCTTTCAAGATTTCATCAAATCTCATTTGAATTCCATTCGAAAACAAAATTTAAGCCAAAAACCACCAAACTCGACGAAAACGAGTTCCACAAAGCTAAATCTAAAAATCTAAAGTGAGTTTCAAAGAGTTTTACCTCGATCTAGGCTTCGATGTTGAAAATCTCTTAAAAATCTCTGTTTTTCTTCAAATCCGGTTCAAGAACATTCTTGAGAGAGAGGGAAAACTTGAAAGAAAGAGAGAGGAAGAGATGGGCGAGAGAGAGAGAGAGCTCGGTGAGGGAGAGAGAGAGACTAAGAGAAAGTGTGAGTGAGTGAGAGGGTTACGGGAGAGGAGGGAAAAGAAAAGAAAGAAAGAAAAGAAAAGAAGGAAAGGAAAATAAAATGAGGAAAAGAAAACTGAATGGCATTGCTAAATCCTATTTCAGTTATTTTTAATGCGTGATGTTAGCAATTGAATGCAAATACCTGAACCATATTCTTTATATGTGTCTATCTGATTTTCATAGCTATTTCTCCTTTGTGTTATTCATGTGATTTACTATTCTACATGAGCTTTTCCTACTTTCCATACCTTTTTCTAACTTTTCTTTTGATGCACATGACATTTTTATGTGACATTTACAGTTTCATTGTAAATAATATGTAAATAATGTATATTACTTCCATACAATATCCAACATTTAAAGATGGAACAATGTTATTACGATGTATCACTAAATGAAAATTTCATATACAAGAGTAGAGCTATAAAAATATAAACATATGTATATTATTTCAATATTAATGTGAATGTATTGTAAATGCTGTTTTTTTTTTTTGCTAATACATAGCTTTAATATATATTGTACTTATTAATGATATATATTTGTAATGTATTACACTTATTCGAAGCAGATTTATTGTTTCATTGCACTTTTACCGTTGAATATAGATTTGAGTAGACAGACACTTGAGTTGTGCCTAATTCTCTCAAATACAAATGTGAGCTCTGTAATGAATAAGTATGTATATTTTTATTTATAAAGATAGACATGTAAATAAATATGTATATATGTGTTACAAGTTTATAACAACTTATAAACATATATATGTGTGTTTTTATACATTTTTTTCATTTAAATTACTGTTAATTATACTATTAAATATCCATACAAGTGCATAGGTAATTCATTAGTAGTTTCACTATAAGAGACACAAACAAAAATAAAAGAACAATACTATAAGTGCACCACCCACTAATAGTAATTGTATCCTACAATATGAGATTTAATGGTAGAGTGGTGTTCTTAAAGCACTTTTTAAGTGAGAAGTAGAAAAGAATATTATTTCAAAATACAAAAGGGAAAAGAATATGTATATTTTTTTTGGCTGAAAGTGTATATGTATAAAATGTCGACCATGAGAGACCATGATTTAAAAATGTCTATTGTTATATAATACTACAAAAATATCAACTTGTGATTATTAAGGCATTTTTTATTCCGTATTTACCCTCATGTTTTATTTGGGCATGTTCTTTTTTGGAAGCTTTTCTAATTTTTATTTTTCATAAAAATATTAAAATTTTTAACCGGATTACATAAAGGTTGACTATTAAAGCGGCCAAATTTTTCATAATCAATACATTTAATGCATTTTTGATATGGTTCTTGAATTTAGAGTTTCCCTCTCCATTTTTTAAATCAAATGTCGTTCTGGAGATTGCTCCAACATTGCTGAGTGGAAGAGATATTAGGCGCGTTTGGAACTCGTTCTAAAATTATTTTATTTTTTGTATGAAAATAAAAATGAAAACGTTTTCAATCTCAGACATAAATCATTTTTAAAAATGTGTTTGGTAGTTTTATCAAGAGATTATTTTCAGTGTAAAAAAACATATTAATGTCTCTCTTTCTCTCTCTTTGCTCGAGAGAGGAGAAAATGAAAACAAAAAAATAAAAAACGACTAAAAGTCATTTTTTATTTCTCTCTCATTTTACACTAAACTAAAAAATCGTTTTCATTTTCATTTTTTGTTTTATTACGGCAAACGTTATTTTAAAAACGTTTTCATTTTTTTCTTAAAAAATGTAAAAAATAAAAATAGGATCAATTCTTAACACAACCATTGTTTTTGTGTTTTTTGTCTTGTCCAACCGTTTTCTGGTGGTTCAATGTCTTTGTCGAGGGTGAACCATAAAGGTTTGGTTCTTTAACGCTTTTATTTTTTTAATCATATAGTTTCGTTTTCCTTTTTTTTTCTTATTAATTCTTTTTGCATCAATATGGTTTCACTGTTACAAAAAGTAACTTGTAATTAGATGTGTGCAACGCTGAACAAAGAAGAACGTCATGAATACTACAAGAAAAATCATTATCATAATGTACAATTCTCTTTTATAATGACAATATACTAAAATTTCAAGATCGTTATCATAATAGACAGTTCTTTTTGATAATGAAAGTATAGTTAAAATTACAAAACACATAAAAGTATATCAAATATAGTTCTTGATTACAAATATTGTTACCAAAGGCATATCAAAATACATAAAGAATATTACCAGAAAAGCCATAAATCATAAATTTAATGAAAAGAAACTCAATAACATAGTTCTAGTGATTAAGTTTGCACTGTGATAATGAAAATCCACATCATAGCAAAGTAAGCGGTCATTACTACAAACTATGGTAATGAAAACCTAAAAATCCATGAATCTTAATATGATAGCATTATGATAATGAAAACAATGGTATGAAAACCCAGAAATCCAAGAATCCTATTATGACAATACTAATACAGAAAACCAGGAAATCTTGTGAAATAAAAACCAATGCATTCTTTTACTGATTATGTTTGCAGTACGATAATGAAAACCAACATGACATTCTGGTAAAGAAAACGTCCACAGCATTCTAATAAAGAAAACCTGTTCACACTAAACAATCATTAACAAGCCAAAAATTGTATCAAAATTATTTATAATGAAAACGTTCACAGCAAATCAATAACACGCCAAAATTGTATCAAAATTATTTGTAATGAAAATGTTCGCATCATTCTGGTAAAGAAAACCTACTCAATTTGAAACTTACACCACTCACTTGAAGGCGTTGGGAAGGAAGCCTATAGGCTTGTGGGACTGGTAATAAAAAGTCTTTACTTATATAGTTAATTGTTTTATTTCTTTTAGGTTTATTTTGGGGATTTTCTTTTTAAAGGATGTTTTCTCTTCTTAAAAAAAGTCAAATGTGGCATTAATTATGAAAACTAATGAATCTTTAGTATGTGGATGATTAAATATTTTGTTTTATTATTAATTTCATTTTGTTTCCTCATGCATTATTCATTATTTTTTGCCTTTTTTTTCTTTATATAAAGATAATTATTGTGTTTAGAGTTATTTTTGTTTTTGTTTCACATTTTTTTAGGACAAAAAATAAAAACGGGAGAGAAACGGCGTTTGACACAATTAAAGACAAAAAAAGAAATGAAAACGATTTTTTAATTTAGTGAAAAATGAAAAAAAAAATAAAAAATGACTTTTAATCGTTTTTTATTTTTTATTTATGTTTTCTCTTCTCTCGAGCAGAAAGAGAGAAAAAGACATTAATATATCTTTTATACTGCAAAATAATCTTTTGATAAGACCATCAAACACATTTTTAAAAATAATTTATGTCTAAAATTAAAAATGTTTTCAATTCCAAATGCACCTAATATTGTCTTTCTATACGTTATAGTGGGTAGTTCTGTAAATAAATGAGATAGCAGACATTTTTAGACTCAGATCCTCTAAAAGGACATTTATGTATATATTGCCCAAAGTTTTGAACGAGTAATGGAGCTAAACACGGGAGGAAAAAACTAGTACAACGTTCCCCCCTATGAATCACTTTCTTTTATAATTCCGGAAATGAAAAGAAAACAATATAGAGAAAACTAGACAACTTTAGAGGATAATAAAGAGTAATTTATATATTTACAACATTACTAACGTTTAATTTTTAACCAATTTGTTACCATCGAAATGAAGCCAATAGATTGGATACTATTACTATATGTAATTTCATAAACCAATTAGATATGAAACGCATAAACAAAAATTAACAAACCTTCTCTTAAGCTTTTCTCATTTGTACTAAAAGCAGCTATTTCCTCTGAAGATTTAACCAACTAAAAAATATCAAAGAGAAAAATATCATTTCAATTCCCTACAGAAATCCTACGCTCTCTTTATGAAGACAAACCCAAGCCGCGCAGTGCTGACCGACTGCTGAGAACCTCCAATGCCCAATGGGGTTCACATGCTTTCCTTCTCAAAGGAGATCACATTGATTGATCATTCTTCCTTACTTACTTCAGGTTGTAGTTGCAGTCCAATTAGGGGGAAGCCAAGTAGAGGTCGGCACAGGGGCCACGGAGGGCATGGCACGGACATTGATGTCAATGGGAAGAAGACGGTATTGGATGTCGAGTTCCTGGAAAATCTTGACCATTTCTTCAATCAGAAGAGACCTTCTTGCATACCTCTCTCCCATGTCTTGGTGGTTGATTCTGTGGCACAACCACACGGCCATTCTCACCCTGTTTAGTTCATCAAGGTCTTTCATTATAACCATTGGCGCTGGATACCAATGCTCCTTCTTGTTCTCAACATAACTGAAATGAGATATGAATAAGAAATTTGTCAGTAAAATGTATCAACAGCATATCAAGCACAGTTAAAACAAAGCAAGAAAATTGTGTCTCCACAAATCATACTTTGTTATTCTCTGCCTCATGGCAGCGATCTTATCAGCCGGAGTAGCTACGTGGATGCTGAATTCGATTCCATCTCCCATGTCCGGGCTGCGGTAGAAGTTGTCGATGGCCTTAGTGGCAAGAACACTGTTCGGGAATATTATCTTCGCATTGTCATACCTCAGGAAAACTGTAGTCAAGATGTTCATCTCTTCTACAACCATCTGAAAAGTTGTTGTCAAAACACACAAATTAGGCCAAACACATACAAGAGAATTGGCACAGAATATAAAAAAACACAAGTGGAGATAGATCGTCACCTGAACTCCATCGATTTCGCACCGGTCTCCCACATCAAAAGGGTGCATCACAAATAAGAAAACAATTGCTTCGAACACTGTCTTGCATGTGTTTCCAAAAATGAATGCTACAAGGACTAGCTGCGAGCTGATAAATAGTAGAAATTTGCTGGTGGCAATTCCCAGTATAAGAAGCCATATAACTCCTATAACAATGGCGACTATTACGTTCACTATGCGATGAAGTTTGTTGACGGCAGTTTTTGTATCATTTAGTGTCAAGGCAAGTGCTCTGCGCTCTCTGAATGCATTGACCTGGAACAAATTTGCCTTAATTATCAAACTAGTAACAACTAGTAGAAGAAAAAAAAAAAAAAAAAAAAAAAAAAAAAATTTCTCTCCTTTTAAAGTAAAGAAAAAAGAATGCGACTTTTTTTCTTAGATTCTTCTACGAATGTGACCTTATTGTCTCCTTATAAAGATACTTACCACCCAGTTTTTTAAGGACGATTTGCTTATTCTTTGGCTCTCAGATGCTCCTTCAAAGAGAGACATGGTCTTCACAGCCTCGTCTTCTCGCATGAAACGCATTAAATCTTCCAGGCAGATGAACCTGTCAAATAAATAGGAGAGGGAAAATTGTAAATCATTACTATTTACAATAGAGACAAAGTTGACGACAAGGAATTAGAGGAAGAAAAAAAAAAGGAACATTATCAAGCTGCTTAGTCGTTCACTTGAATGATTATCTCTATCAAAAACGAAACAAAAAAGGAGCATGCCAAACAGATAAAAGGAGGAAAGAACATTATCAATATGACTAATAACCCATAACCACAAAAGTCAAAACAAATGACATCTTCATTCTCTGTCGCATGAAGAAATAACAAAAAAATCCAAACAATTCTAGTTCCAATATTAAACATCTAAGCAAGATACACAAATACTAAGCTTTGAAGCCTACGGTAGGACTTCGAGGGTGGTCCCAACAAAACAAATGACATCTTCATTCTCTGTCGCATGAAGAAATAACAAAAAAATCCAAACAATTCTAGTTCCAATATTAAACATCTAAGCAAGATACACAAATACTAAGCTTTGAAGCCTACGGTAGGACTTCGAGGGTGGTCCCAACCACTAATCAAAGCAGATACAGTTCAAGTATCTATAGTATGTCTCAATCATAACAATAAATCAAAATTCAAAAGCACCTTTGAAAATTTAAATCCAAATCAAATTTGCATTAGGAAACTAGTTGAAACTAATTATGCATGAAAAAGCTGCACTTTGAAACAAAATATAAGGAAAAAACAAAAAAAAGGAACACCAAGAACTTACTTGGAGCCTCGCCTAGCCACATTCTGAAAAATCTTTTTCGCGGCAGCCTTGGCCTCGACCTCGCTTCTAATCTGCGTGGCGGACTCGTCCTCATGAGTCGAATCCACAATCTGCTCATCCAACGTAGTAAGAGTGCCATGCCTAACCATCCTCATTAGCCTCTTCATATTCCAAGCTGACACATTCTTGGGATTCAGCTTGTGCAAGTGATCAATGGTGATCCCCTCATCGCCTATCTTGCTAAGTGACCGCGACAGCTTCGAGCTCTTCCACGTTCTCGACAGCCTTCCACTCCCGATAACCCTGCTCGTCCTCGGAAGCGCCGACGAAAACGCGAGGTCCGGAGGGATGGTAGCCCCGGCGTTTTGCAGCTTCTCAACCTCATCAGCGAGCCGCTCCTCTTCCTCCTCTGTTTTGTATATCTCGATCAATGGCGGACCCGAGAGGGTTTCGATCACGAATTGATTAAACAGAGAGTCTTGGATCCTATCAAAGTATGTGCTGACATGGAATGAAGAAGCTAGGACTTTCACTATCAGTGTCTTAACAAGCCATAGCAAAGTCCCCACCAAGAAGCAGATTAAGACTTTGGTCACGTACTTAAGTGATTCGCTTCTGGTCTCTCTCTCGACTCTCTTGTCGAACAAGAAATGCCAAGCGATCAAAACCAGACCAAGCCAGAGACAGTTCTGAACGGCCTTTCTAACGCCATAGACAAAGTACAAAACCCTTTTCCGCAAAAGAAAATTCCTCTCGAAGAAGAACACGGCTATTCGAATTCCCCAACCGGAGACCAATCTCCCACAGATCAAAACCAAGATCAGAACCTCCCATTTCCAAAGCTTCAGTTTCAGCAGATTTTTGTGCCTCAAATAATGAATCGAAAGAGTACAAGCAAAAAGCCCCACTATTAAGATTAAGCTTGCCCATTGAAGAAGCGTTAGAGCGCTTAAATTCGCCTTCTTGAACTCGTCAGGTAAATCTTCATCAGAAAATGGATCATCCTCTTCTTCGTCTTTTCCCAGTAATCCGGACTTCATCGGCCCCGACCTGGGAATCGGCCCGGACCTCGGAATCTGGCCCGATTTAGGAATCCGGCCCGAGCGCATATCGGGCTCTTCGGGCGGGTCTTGGAGTCTGGACCTGGTCTTCACCCGCAAGAAGCTGGACCTTCTCTGGAACGAAATCTCGCGCTGAAACGACGCGTTCGATGTGCACCTCACGACCTCCTCGCCGTCGCGCTCGCGGCGCTCCAGAGACTCGTCGTTGTCGTTCGGAGAGTCCTTGAAACGACGCCGCACGGCGTCGTTTTGAGAGATCTCGGACCCGACATCCGACGGCGACGGATGGAGCGAGACCTTCAGCTCCCTCGACGACCTCGAGTTCTGCGGTGACTCCGACACCGGCGTCAAATCAAGCTCTCCTCCGCTGCCGGCGCTGCGGCGGAGCTCCTCCATCTCCAAATCCATGTCCAGCGATATGTCGCCGGAGGCCTTCTGCCTGTGCAAAAACTGCCTAATCAGCTTCGACGGCGGATCCTCCGTAGTCTGCGCAAAGTGAAAGCTTTCCCCGGAGCCACCACCGTCGCGGACATTCGCATTCTCCTTCCAGGCACCGTAGCTGTTTTCCCGCCAAAAGTTCTCAGCGTTTCTTGACTGGTCCGACGCGGCGGCGGGAGGATTGCCGCCCTCGTCGATTTTCACGATTACCTCGTTCCGACCGGTGGAGGCGCCTCCCATTTTGCCGTTGTCATTGAGGCGGCGATAATGCTGAACGTGGTGATTGTCGTCGAAGTCGTGATCGGAGAGAATCGGAAGCTCCTCGTGGCTGTTATCCGGATTTCCTCCACCGGCGGAGATCTTTCTCGAATTTTTGTAGGAGCCGTGGGATTTAAACGACTTCTTGAGCGAGAAATCCATTATTAGTAGTGTATTGGCCGAACATAAAAGTGACTGTCACAATAAATTATTGCCAATAATTCTGGGCTCGCTCCAAGTCAAATTATTTGTTTGGGAAGAAAAGAGGAAAGGATTATATATAACTGAGAAGAAAAGGAAACTAATCAAAATGTGTTGGGTTTTAATTTGTTTTATAGTGATGAAGAGAAATCAGTTTGACGCGTGTAGTCAGTGAGTGAGAGATTAAAAATGGAAACCTGGGATTGGGATTGTTATAATTAATATTAATTCTAGAGAGAGAGGAGGTTTGGGAGTGTGAAGAAGTTGCGACAACAGAGAAGAACATGTGGCGCCGATGAGGTTCGAGGGAAAGACATGTATATATAAAGGCGCTAAAAAGCTAAAAAGCTGGACCGGTTTGCATGGGTTAGGCGTTCAACTTTGTTGAGATTTATTAACTTTTTTATATGTAATAATATTAATTATTATATCATGCAAGTGGAATAACCATTGGTTTTCTGTTTAATTGCGATTCTGCCATCCGTTCCTTTTTTATGTTATGTGATTCCATGACATAATAAAATAGAAAGGTTAAATATAATTTTCTTTTTCAAATGTGATTCTTAATGAAAATTTTCAATGAGGAGAGCCGAAGACGTGAATAAATGTAAAATTACTTATTTAAAGCCAACGCTGAAAAGGAAAAAAAATATAAGAAAATGACACTACTAAGTTCAAGAGAGAGAAGTTGACATTTTTTTTTTCGAATTTGATTCTTCATTAAAATAATCTGACTCAGACGAAAAATGTAAAGAAAATTGTAAACTTACCTATTAAAGCTAACGCTAAAAAGGGAAAAAATATATATATAAAGGAAACTTCTACATTTTTTCCAAAGCCTTTTCTAGAGAGAGAGTTAAAAGTGAGAGCGAGAAAGTCTTTGAGAAACAGATGCTAACGGGAGCTCTAGTATTGTTTTTAGGCACGTTGTTGGGCTCTCGATCGTGAAATTTAGTTCGCCGACTCATCTCGTTGTGAGCTTCTCGTTGGTGGTGGTGATATAAGGTGTGGTGGTTTCGTTTGGGTAGATTTGAATCGATTACGAGCTTAGAAGCTGAATGGATGATCTTCTTTTTAAGGAAGTTTTCCGCTTCGTGGCTCACATCTCTCCGCTGGCTATCTTTCTTTATGGTCCTTTGGCCGAACGCCCTTCACCAGAAGTTTCTACCAGCGGTGGTCGGAGGTTTTTTTCTTGTTGCCACTTTTGTGTTTGTAATAAGGTTAGTGATTTTCCCACCCGACTCTCGTCTGGTTTGTTATTTTTTTATTAGATTTAGGTGTTCAGCTTAATGTCGATAGGGTGGTCTTAGTCCGGTTATAATTTTTTATATGTCGTGTAGATGTCCTTTTTCAGTGGGGTTTTGACAACTTGCCCCTCCAGTGCTTGACAATTTATGTTGAAGAGAGAGGTTTTCTCTAGTTGAGTTTTTAGTCTGCTCGTTGTTAGTATGTCAAGGTACTTTTCCAGTTTCAAGCCTCAAACGTATGTGTCTTTCTGATAGGTTAACATTATACTAAGACTATTGTTTATTAGTATTTTTATAAAATGTAATTTTCTTTGTAAAAAGACCATTAGTCTATCTTCTTAGTTCTTGTATGATATATATGGTCCAAAATTAAAACAACACAATGGAATTTTTTGCCCTTATCATAAATTTTTCTCTCTACATTTTATAAATGTTTTCTTATTGCTGATAAAGAACTGTCTAGAACATTGCTTTGGATAGTAATTAATATTTGGTGAAAGCCTCAAAGGTGTTATCGTCATTTCACCTGTATAATTGGAGTATACCTGGGAATGGTGAACCACGAGCTGTCCCAAGTTTTAATCATACGTGTCCCAATTGCTTACAATTTATATGCACTGCCAGTATATAAGAACAAAGATCCCAACACAAGCCTAAAGTTCTTAAATGGCTGGTCCGTCAGCATTCGAGCTTCGAATGTGCTCCAATCAGGGTACGTGGCGTTCTTCTGATGGAGGTGTTATAAGGTTAGGATCACCAAGCTGTAACGTTAAAATTTTGGTGAGGTGTACGCGACGTGTCGAAACAGTAATGAGCACACTGAGGAAAATTTGCCGCTGCTTGTTGTTTGACGATTTGACTTATTGGTTTTTTAAAATTACGCGGCAGATCGTAAGAACCATAACGAAATGACACGTGTAATGCGACAATAAATAGTATGTATAATTAAAAGCTATATGAAAGGTAAATTAGGAATATTCTTTCCCGGTTTTTTTAGGAAAATGCGTGGAAATTATGAGTTGTTTGGTTGAGGGATTCGTACCCCGATTCGAATCATGGTTCATAATTTGTTATAGTATTTTTTCTCATAAAAAATACACGTAAATAAAAAATGATTCTAATTATATGATTCTAATTCATAAACCAAACGTCTCCCAAAATGGGAGGGCGTGAGTGCACAATGGACAAAAAAGGAATGTCGTGGATAAACATTTTCTGTGATATTTGATTGATCATTGATTAAGATGGTCTTTTTTCTGATTTGTAAAGATTTCATTCCACTTAAATTTTTACGACGTTTAGTTTATGGACTCAAAATCATGATTCGTGATTTTAATTTTTAAAATTTAAAATTTTTATTAGAGAAAAATACTGTAGAGAATTAAAAACTATAATTCATAACTAAAAACGAATCTTATAACAATATGTGTTACAAAAGACAAAAATGTTCTTTTTTTTTTGTGTGAAAAAGACAGAAATGAGGCCTATTATAGAGTACTTAGCGTAATTTCAAAGTCGACCAATTAAGAAAAAAAATATAATGCTCCTTCAAATATAATGTTCCTTCAAATATATGCGTGTGTCTATATATATATATATATATCCCTTGATCTTTATAACGTCACTTGTTAAGGGATGTTGGCTTTCTTTGCTATGAGAAAATTCCAAGTACAATTCGCCACATGTTAATAGATGATGAATTGTTTGTTAAAAATTTAAAAATGGGATGGGTATAAAAAATATTTTGCGTTTTTGGAAAAGAAAATAGTATCACTCGATTTTATTTAATACATCATATAAGAACGAAAAATACTTCCTGCGTACGTTTTACTAACAAAAAACAAAAAGTACATATGACAAAATGCCCATGATATCCCTTACAATTCTGTCAAAATAAACGATAAAAAATATTATAGTAGTACATTTTTAAGGATAGTTTTATCTTTTCACTATTTATATTTAGCGTTTCTTAAAAATATATATTTTTTAATGTGACATGCAAAACAGAAAGAAAATAATTTATTTTATAAAAAAAATTTAAAAATCTACGGTTTGATAAAATGCACGGAATAAATATGTAATTATCCCTTTAAAATAATGTCAACAATTGTTGGAAATTTCTTTCCTATTTTTAGAATATAAAAAAATACAGATTTACGCAAGGTGCAAAGAAGATTCTTTATTTTTTTCAGAAAATAAGATTTATTAAAAACAAATTTGAGGATTCATTTACAATGCGTACCACAAACACAATATTTTACCTCATAAACCAATTTACAATTTTGTATCCATTTTTTAAAAACTTTTTTTATAGGGTATGAAAAATTCTCTATCGCCAGAATACAAAATTCTATCTAGTTCACTAATTTGTCGTGGCTTATTTCATCTTCCATTATAAATAAACAAATATCTACCATGTCGACAATCAAAACAAGACAGAGAGACAGCTAAGCTTACCCGAACTTTGAGGTTCGCCCACCTTACACAAATGCCATTATAAACCGTGTAAAATTAGCATTTGCAAGCCCGTGGCAATGATTATTAGCATTTGTTATATATATATAATTACAGATTCTATCTCATTAATTATTTAACTTATTAAAAGTATGGCTTGATTAGTTTTCTAGTTTAAAAAATAGAAGTATACGGGTTAATGTTAAATGATAAAAATAAAACGATATTTTATTTTAAGGAGTATTTTTAAAAAATATTCTTTTTTTAAATGAATCTTTGTTATATTTTGTTCTCAAAGGAATCTTTATTTTGTTTTCTTTCAAGTGAAGGTTTAATACCCTTTCTTTTTCTTTTTCTTTTGTTTTTTTTGCTGGAACTTTCGAGGGTTTTAACTGAAATGCCTGTCCATCCTGCCTCCATAACAGCACGATAAATGTTCTGGTTTTGAAAAGGTAATAGTCTACTACGCATGATAATGAAGAGCCATGCAAAGATGGTAAGCATAATCATTTCACACGTACCAATATTATTTACTGAATCCACCAAAATCCCAATTCATTGGTTCCTTTGTGGGCCATTGTGCATCAAAAGCAGTTGACATCTCAAGCCCACTTTTTTCGTTTTTTCAAACTAGTTTTATTATATTCTCACTTTAATATATGTATTATTAACGTCATTAATCTAGTCATGTCCAGAAGTTTCAGTTCAATTAAAGGACATTTATGCCTGTTCCGTTGCACTTTTTGACAATAAGACTGAAAATGCTCATGTGTCCCGGCACCCCCCACATTTATGCAATATCTTTTCAGTTTTCACGGCTTGGATGATGGTTAAAAAGTAGTTGTTTGTTCGAACCATAATTTAAATTAATCGAATATAATATATTTTTTTTTATAAAAATATTTAATTTTTTATTTAAATATGTGAACTTGACGAATGCTCGTACCGTTAAAATTACGCGTTAATTTTAACGATTTAGATTAATTTTTTCAGCTAACGCTCGTTAAATTATTTGACAGGTACCAATTTAAAAAAGTAAAGATAAAGCATTTGTAGTTTTGGCCACGATTCGAAACCTGTATTAATTACAATGTCTTCGGTAGTAGTTGAGCACCATTTTTTTTTTCATTCATAGGATGGTAGGCTGATGTAGTATTCAGGAACTCGACTATCGATATATCATACTATTGAATTATATGTCACGGTAAGATAATGATATAATTCCCGAATTCTGATATTGAACTGCATTTTGTGTTTCAACTTGATGTCACGTTGCTTGCTGGATGACCATCTTACGTCCAAGTTGTCATGACTTAATCGTTTGAAAAATTGAGGATTTGAATGTCGTATTGAGCTCAAATAAGGTCGATAGCCCCTCTTATCAAGATATTGGAAAGGGAGACAAATTCTCAGTGAGTTTAGATTTTTACCTCTTATTCTTTATTAATATTTTTTTAGTTAAATAATTATATTAATAAAAAAGATATTAATTAAGAATAAAGGGTAAAAACTCAGACCATGCACAGTAAATTTCTCTCAAGTTAATGATATCATGAGTAAATGAGGAAACGAGAAAAATACCTTTCATTAATATCCTTTATAGTATTAGTCAAATGAGTATTAATCAAGAGTAATAAGTAAAAATTCACATTTATGCACTTTAAAGGTAAGTTCAACAATTTTCTCTGAGTTTAAATTGCACTATTACACTTTAAAATTTTCATTTTTTTTTGCTTAATCCCACAAATGATCCTTGAGGTTTACCCTCAATTTCACTTTAGTCCTTGACTTTTACAACATCCCACAATTAGTCTCTGAAATTTTACTCTATTTCAGTTTCGGTCATTCCGTTAGTTAAGTGTTAAATTTTTGACTGAAACTGAGAAAAATAGGACTATACTTAAAAAATATAAAGTTTAGGGATTGAAACAATACAAAAAATAAAAGCTAAATTTCACAGATAATCCCTAAATTTTATTTGTTTTTAATTTTGGTCCTTAATTTTTCCCAATTCTGTCAAAATTGAAACAAAATAAAACCTCAGAGACTAAATGTGAAACATTTTAAAATTCATGGACTAAATTGGGATTAAAGGTAAAACCTCGAGGACCATTCGTAGGTTTAACTTTTTTTTTGTATAATACACTCTAAACTTTCACACTGACAAATTACACTGTGAATTTTTAAATAAGTAGCAATTGAAGCTCAATAGCTAATGAACATTATCACATTGGCGGTTTAAGACACAAGATTCACACGTGAAAAACATTGCCAATCATTTTTCAATTCAGATCATATACAAATCTCGCGTCCCGAACAACTTCAATAGTCATTGATTTGAAAGTTCAAGATGTGATTTGTAAAAATTAATGGTCTATTTGGTTCACGCGTTTTAATCAGCGGTCTTGATTTTAAATTCAAATTTTGTGAGAGAACTCATTGGCATAAACTTTTCTTATTCAAATTTCTAGTAAGAGAAAAATATTGTAACAAAATCAGAATCATAGTTTCAAACGTGTAAACTAAAACGGGTACTAAAAATTTAGAGGATATTATGTAAAAATAAAAAATAAAAAAATTAAGCTGTAACGGTCCAATTTCGGTCCAATTTAGGACCCGTTTGGATTGGTTTAAAAAAAACTGCTTTTAACTTATTTAGTTTTAAGCTGCTTTTAAACCTATTTGGATGGACAACTTTAAAGTGCTTTTGATTTTTTTAAACACTTTTAGAACAAGTCATCTCCTTAGTGTTTTTCATTTATATTTTTAATCTTTTATTTGTGAACAACAAATTAAATATTCAATCCATATATTTTTTATCACATTACCTTTTAAAATAATAAGTGTTTTAAACTTTTTTACCTAAACAGATTCGAAAGTTCTTTTTAAATATAAAAGTCCCTTTTCAGATACTATCTAAAATACTAATAAAAAAAACCTCAACTTATACTTATTTTCTTTTATTACTTAAAAATAGTACAAACACAAACTATCTCAAATAGACCTTACTCCCGTAAATAGTACAAACACAAACTATCTCAAATAGACCTTACTCCCGTGTCAAAAGATAAGTTACTTTCGGCATCCACTTAAAAAGTGTCCCAATTGTGTCACTTTATGATGGGCCAACCTGATGGGCGTGTTATCTAAACATCCACTTCCTAATTGGTATTTAGCATGAAAGAAGAGATGAATGTCTGATTATGGATTTTCTTCGGTGAATGAAATTGTGTCTGAAATTTTGTACTTCTTCATAATAGCGTACCAATGGAAAGCAACAGCAAATCAAAATTGACACAATTATGGAGCAAGCGCGAGACTTGAGTCGTGACATGTTCGCAATGTAGAGGGGAGCAAATTTCTTTAGCTGAAATCATTAAAAAGGAAAAATAAAAAAAAAAAGATTAATAAAAAATTTTCTCCGAACATTTATAACACTTTAACTTCCGAACTTTAAATAATAATATTTGTTCCTGATTAATAAAAAATTTTCTCCGAATACGACATTTATAACACTTTAACTTCCGAACTTTAAATAATAATATTTGTTCCTTTGAATTTTATTCTGTTAACAATTTTACCCTTTCTGTTCTATTGAGTGACGAAATTAGTCACATGAAAGATATATGACTCATATAAGGAGAGTATTATCATAACATGACCTGCAAAAGACTTAATTTATGAACAAAAGCGTTAAAAAAACTCAAAATAAAGGTTAACTCTTGACATTTAGGTTTTTAGTGTTAGAAGCCTGACCAAAAAATTAAAAAATTTGGAGAAATTGAAGCCCAAAACCTGTTGAATAACTCTCAATGGCTGCAACAAAGAAAAAGTGGTGATATGAATCCTATCACTTAATATAACCTATGTAATCTCGAAAGACATTGTAAAGGAACATATTTATGAAGATTATTCTTCGGTGACTCTTCTTTCGTGGAAAGCTTTTGAAGAGTTGAAGTGGCATGGAATGTTCAGATTAATCTTATCACCTTCAATTACACCATTCATCTCTGAAAACTATGAAGGAATGAAGAAAATGGCATCCGAAATTAAAAAAAAAAAAAAGAATACGAATACATTTATAATATACCCCTGTTGTTGGGAAATCTACTTGCAGGCGAAGAATAAACCCAGTAAAAAATAGGCAAATATATTTAGAACCAAAAGTTTCGACGGTTTAAGATTCATTCTGCTTAGATATTCTTTCTTCAAACAAGGCCAAATGGACGCTTACAATATCCAATAAGCAAATAAGACAAGTTTTTTTTTTTTTTAATTTTTTTATTAAATAATAATAAGAAAGAAAACAAACGTTGGTGAAGACGTTGCCGCGTTATCTAGAGGGATAAACGGCAATAAACAGATTCTTTCATTAAGAGGATAGAAATGTAATTTCGCACTCAATTCTCACTAGAAACAGTTATAAATGACACATGATAAATTTCGTCACTTAATATAATATAAGGGGTAAAGTTATTAACGGAACAAAATTTGAAGAAACGAATTTCAGATTTTAAAATTTGGAAGTGTCATAAGAGTCACAATTCAATCGAAATTTTTGTAACTAATCCAAGAAAAAAAAATGTTTGAAAGTAATGTACACAGCATCAAGGACAAGGAAAGCCAACAATTGGTCGAAGGAACTTCGGTCAACAATGTTTCTTATAATGAAGCCGCAGGGTATCACGTGAGGTGTACAAATGCTCATCCAAAACCATCATCCTTTATAAGCTATAATATGTTACTCCCGAAGAAAAGGGCAAATGGTCGATTTAAAAAATGGATGAGCTAACAGAAAAAAAAAAAAAAAAAAAAAAAAAAAAAAAAAAAAAAAAAGGTTAACAACTGGGGAAGGTATTACTGTACATGGTTGTCATGTGAAAATGGGTGGGAAATAGCCCTACGTACTAAATTATAAGCTCATGTTATGATAGTAAAATCATCAGCTACGTCTCTCAGTGATGACCCCGTCTAAGGACGGACAAGAATCTGCCAGATGATGACTTACGGCGTTCCTCTACTTCATCTCCCACCTTAAAACGAAACGAAACGAGTCTTACCAAAATGTCAATCTCGAAGAATCATAAACTACGAATTATGTGAAAGGAAAGAGCATCATTAATTGATCAAGAAACATGCGAAGAAAATGAAAATTATGAAAGTCTTGAGTGACTTTTGACCATATGCAGCAAGACTTACCTCCTTGGCTAATTGTTGCAACATCTCTATAATCTCAGAGAAATCGGGTCGTAATGCCGGGTCTTTTTCCCAGCATCTCTCAAGAATCTCAACAAGCTTTGGATGAGTGTGCTTTGGGATAGGAGGACGTAGACCCTGAAAGTAAACAAAAACTTACCTGTAATCAAGGTATGATATGCTTTCACATGACACATAATATATCACCTTCCTAGTCAGTGATAATTGATCCTTTTTGTTCATATTCGGACACTCGACCAGCTAGACTCGAAGTTGTCTAATAAGATTACTTGTCCTGACTTAACACAAGCAACATTGTTGGACAGTAAATTAAACTAGCTTAATAGTGTTGTGGGATCGGTAATTTACCGATTGGACGACTCCAACAGCTGCTTGTAATGGGGTTAAGTATTCATATGGAAGCTGCCAATTGAAACAGGAGAAAAATTTAAACTAAAATGAACAAAAGAAACAACCGCGTCAAATTAGGATTCCCGTCGACATGCAATACCTTTCCAGTTAGTAACTCCCATAAAACAACTCCAAAACTAAAAATGTCAGCCTTGTGATCATATGGCTTGTGTTCGATAACCTTCAATGCAAAAGAACTGTTGTAAGAAAATGACATGATAAGTTACGTTCATATGATATAGTATTGAACATTAACCAACGACAAGGAAACTGAATAATGCCTTACGGCTTGAGAGAGTTAAAAGCAACAGACACAACAACATTTAAGTAGCCGTTGACTTTTTTTCATATGATTGTTGCATCAGAAACCGTCTTTTATGGAACTCTATTGCGAAATTTCATACAGGAAGGATGTTTTTGCGACCCAAAAGAAAGCTCAGAATGACGGCAACAGCAGGAAACTTGAGTTTAAAGTGACACTACTCATCAGGTCTATGTTAACCAGACAATCATTCATTGCATATTTACACATCAGTGATGGCAGTTTGCTCCATTGATTATAATATTGGACGGCTATCGAGATTCCAATAAACTAATTATGAAGTCAAAAAATTTTGAAGGCCTTCAAGTGTGTGCATCATGTCATCATCGGGAAGCCAATTACCACTCTACTCAAAGTAATTGTTGAAAGAATATCGTAAGGTTGGACTTTGGGTGTAATACCCGGTATTCTTAAGTAACTAGATTAGTTAAGAAAAATAATACAATTTAATTTGTTTTGTATTATTATCAAGATAAATGTCATTTAGGTGTCACCACTATTATTTTTAAGTGTGCTAGTTGGAGAGTTTAAAGTAAATGGTAGGACCTTACGTGGATTACCAAGGCCATGTAAAGCCACATGACGACTTAAGTTATAGCCTTGATGATATGGCCTAAGAAACTGCCAACTCATGCTTGTTAGGCTTGATGAATGTTAGCTAAGGATTAACGAGTGAGTGGCCACATGGGACCTATTGTCTTGCTGCCGCGGATTGCTTTGATATAAGGGATTGGTTACATATATAAATATGTTGAAGAGGTTTGTTACTACTTTAGAGAGTACGAAAACATGATAGGAAAAAGAGAGAGAGAGAGAGAGAGAGAGAGAATGAAAGAAAAGAGAAAGTGAACGGAAAGAAAAAAAAATAGAGAAAAGTTCTATTTATCTTCTTAAGCAATTTAAGGTAAGTAGACTTTCCATTGCATCACTTGAATAATAGTATATTTTTAATGAAATTTTTTAATTTATATATGCTATTGTTAACATGTTTTCATGAGATTTGAAAAGTATTTCTGAGTATGATGTGAATCTTGTACTTATTATGAGCCGACTGAAATATGATGAAGGGCTAAATCGGCCAAATCTTGAAGGAATAAGAGATTCCATGACAAGGACCATATGAAAGAGGTTCTAATAACACAAGATTAATATTATACAAGAGGGCCCTAAATGTTAAAGAAAAGTATTTGAAAGTGGAAATTGTATATGGTTTACTTACTGAGTTTGCGCTCATATAGTTCTCGTGATGCAGGTAAGTACTAAAATAGAAGTTCCAGTTGATTGAGCAAGAATGGTTCAAGGTCTCATGACAAGTTAGGAGATCTTAAGAAATAAAATTTGTAAATTAAGAATTCTGATCGAAGATTGTATTTGTGATAGATATTATTTCTCTATTAAGCTATATTATTTATTTTAGTTAACGTTTTTCACGAGCGGGCGTTGTTTTTAGCTGCTTGCGGGGCGTTACATAGGGAGCAAGTATTGAATTTGAGAAGACATATGACAACTATTATACTTCCAGCCAAAAAAAAAAATATATCATACATGTACTGCAAATTACTGCCGTCAGAAAATCAAAATAACATATTTTATTAAAACATTAGACAAATTTGAAGCTTACTCACCTCAGGAGCCATCCACCGGTAAGTCCCAGTTTCTGCTGTCATAACTCCAGATTGAGCTTTTACTCTAGCAACCCCGAAGTCTGCGACTTTAACAACCTGAGAGGTAAAACATTTATCAGAAGTTTGAAACATGCTGAACTTACAGACCATACAATAAAGCATTCATCAACCATTACATGTTTGCATATGATATTAGAAACAATGGTGATCGTGAATCCAGATTAGATATGTCATTGGAAATGATAAGGAAGAACTTGAAGGAGAACCAGAAGTTTGTTTGATAAAATCAAAGTATCCACCACAAAAGTATACCAAAAACAAAGGATAATTAATATAGATTATCTCGGGTATAAGTATTAAAGTCCAGTAACAGTAGCTCTTCATCGAGATTATTATTTCGTTCCCTTGATATCTATCATAAGAAAAAGAAACTCTGCAGTTCAGTTTTACACAGCTGTTTTCAGGAATAGTTATACTAAGATGAGGCACATAAAGAGGAAAAGGAATATTGTATAAATATTAAAATCAAGGAAAATAGGAACTTTGTCACTTACGCCATTCTCATCCATCAATAGATTAGCAGCTTTTAAATCTCTATGGATTATGTTATTTTGGTGCAAGTAACTCATTCCCTTGGAGATGTCCATTGAAACCTTGAGCAAGGATGGAAGCTTAAAGAAACCCTTTTTCTTATGCAAGTAGTCATATACACTTCCCCCAGACATAAACTCTGCAGGAAGATAAAAACAATCTTATGGAAATATTGCACACAGCAGAACCTAATGGCTAACACTTCAACTTGAACAAGACTTCCTGCCTGAAAAAAAGTCTGTGTCAAGTAACGTACAGTAACAGTAAATTAATGGTATTCACCTGTAACGATACACATGCTTGGAGGTTTGGTACAGGCACCTATGAACTGTACAACATTCTTGTGCCGAACTTTCCTGAAAGTCCAAGAAAAAACCCTGTTTGTGAGAGAGAGAGAGAGAGAGAGAATTCCAAAAGGAAAACTACTCTACTTGAAGAGTCCACAACTGTTAATGACACCTACCTCATTATAAAAACCTCCTGGGCAAACTCTCTCTGCATATCTGTATTAATTCTCTCAGGCTTAAGAATTTTAATGGCCACTTCCTGACTACAATAGGTACCTTTATACCTGATTTGATTCAAAGAGTTAGTCAACAGAAACTCTAACCAAAGAATGTTTAGGCAAAAATAACAAGAACACGTATGTCCAACCAGTGCAATGAGCATTGAACTTACAAATCACCATAGGACCCAGACGCAACCATTTTCTCAAACTTCAAATGTGTAGGATTAATTTCCCAAACATCAGTGCCATCGTCAGGGATTGTCAAATGCTCAGGTTCACATTTGATCCTGGTTTGATCAGTTTCACAAACAAGAGGTGATTGATAAGTTGGCCAAGGCTGCCTCTGCATAATAATCCGAGATTAAAATTTTAAAAACAAATGCATTCGTCATAATATAAACGCATCAAATAATAATAATGCTACCGAAAAGCACAAAGTTCTCGTCACTTAGCATAACGCTGACCACAACCAAGGGATAACCCATCGAAACATCAACATATCTTTCTTTAAAAAAAAAAAATGATTAAAGAGCAATAGTTACCTCCATTTTTAAAACTTCCGTTTCCAATGTACTTTTGAGCTGCTCTGTTCCCTGTTTCAACACCAAGTATGTATGTAAATGAAATTCATGGATCTTGCAAAAAAACAAAAAAACAAAAAAAACAAAAGAAGAAGAAGAAGAAGAAAACAAAAGGAGAAGAAGAAGAAGAAGAAGCATATTTATTCAAGTTGAAGCCTTGTTTGAATCAATACAAGATAATACTTTCTAATAAGCTACACGAAAAATCATGGGTTCTATAGTTAATTAAAGTTGTTACAGTGGCTTAGCATGTGCACCATTCTCTTGATAACATGTCATACTTTCATTTATTGATGCTTAGTTTCTTTACAGCAGAAGAAATGTCCGTTCCAGCGACTTCATTGAAAAAATTTTGATGCATGTACCTCGTAAGGCCAGCCATCAACAACAAAGACATCCAAGGAGTAACCGTCTGTAGTAGAAAACGCATGTGCTTCCTGGATGTTGAGACCCATCTCCGCAAGCAAGCAAGTCAACTACAGAATTTAATGCAACAATGACGAAGTAATGAGAAAGACTACAATGTAACTGAAGGTATGAATCAATAAAATATTTATTAACGTGTTTCAGGTGCATTAACCCAAAATGGAGAGTGCACCAAGAAGAAATGAGTCATCCCTGATCGACTTACAACAGTAACTTATAAAGTCTCACATTCACTAACTGAAAAATGTTGGGAATTAACTCCCATTCCCTGATTAATGAAAGCAAAATAAAGAAAGAAAAACGGAAAATATAGAACACAAAATTTATTGTGGTTCACTCGCAATGTGAGAGCTAGGTCCACTTTGCTGCCACAGTGTTTCGCTATAATCAGAGAAGAAAGTACAAGTAATCTCACACCTCATACTCATCTCTTCTCCGTCCCAAATAGGGTCATTGCAACAACTATGGCAAGTACAGTGAGGGAATGAGATGAACATTGCTAAGAATCATTTAATTTCAAACAAATAAGTACCTGACTTAGTAGTTTTGGCTTGTCATCTGTTGACAAAGTGATTTCATGCATGGGTCTGCATCATTGGCAATTAAATTAAGACAAATACGAATAGAATTACCGACTTCATCAGTGAAAATTGAGCTATCTCGTGTAACTAGTTATTACAAATCATGGAAAGTTAGGTTGCAGATATTTAGGCTTCGTGAAACAAGTAAATTGAAAGGTCAACGTATCAACCAGATTCCATGCACAAAACAACAGGGGGAAAAAAAAAGAAGAAAAAAAGAAAGAAGGAAAAAGAGAGAGGGAGATAATAGTCCTAACATGTGATGTTGCTTGGTCATGTAATACATATAATACATAATGTATAGATACTGAGCTCCAATGTAAACACTTCAAAACTCAAAGCTAACTAGAGAAGAGAAAGTGATGGGTAGAAGTTAAATTGAGAAGAAAATGCCATGATCACATGGTTAACATCTCAGTTTGGCTTGAGCTCAAAAAAGAGGAAAACTATGGTCAACTCACAAGACATGTAAAAGGAAGATAGTTCAAAGAGCTACCTCAGTAACTGAAGTAAAATTTACATTATCGATAATCTAGAGAAAAAATCTTCTTATATTCTTGAAACTAACATAAAACAAGTATAAGCCACAGCAGAATCTCAGTCAAAATCAATAACCATAAAACATGAGCTATGCAAAAACTAATTGTTAATAGAGAGGTTTAGTGAAAGACATAAACTAAGCCAGACGAGAGGTACAGACAAAGAGAGGGACAAAGGTAATCACCGAGCAAACTGCATGTTGGCATGTACAGAACGTTCATCCTCTTGATCACCAAAGCTATTTGCGTCAAGTGCAAGCGCTTCAAGGTTGGGAGATGAACCAAAGGCAGGTGGTGGGTGCACACTGATATTTGAAAACCCAACCAGAGTTGTCATAATTGCTGAGAATTACAAATCAGCATAGATGAATGCAGAAAATAAAGCCAAAAAAAAAATCTACGTTTAGTTACAAATTACCCATCATGAGATTTTTTTATAGCTGCATTTTGACAACTAGAATAGCTATTAGAACACGTTATACAATACCTTTGTCTGCTGGGATAAACTGAAGAACTTTGTTCAACGTCTTTACTAGGTGAACCTGAATAGACCGGATAGGCCGCTGAATTTCCATCTGAAATGGGATGAACCTGCACAAACACATTCATAAACAAAAACACCCAAGATGCATTAGTCCAATAAACAAAGTTTAGAATAATAACAATAATAGTTAAAAAGAAATTATAACCAATAATAGTTCTCTAAATCAAAAGAAACAATGAAGAGAAGGATTCTAAATAAACTAACTTGTACAAGTCGGACTTCAATGGCGGGTCTGTTAATGGGATTATGAGCCAAATGCAGCAATCTTTTGTGCATAAGAACATCTTCAGCTCTCTCCACATTCACATCCAGCGCATACCTACAATACAATGCAACCAAATCGCTCAAAACAATAACTCCAAAAATTAAAAAAAATTTTAAAAAAACTCGCTGATATATATGACTCGTAAGTTTGGTACAGAAAAATCCAAAATCGACGGCAATAAATCATGCGTTTTAGTAAAAATAAAAGCCTAAATATCAGAAGATCCTATAAACTTAAGCCAAAAGAAGTTAATTTACTAAAACTAGCATCAAGCAACTAACTACCAGCAAATAGAAAATAAAGCGTAACAAAATCCAATCCAAAATGAAAAAAAAAATGTCAAAAAATAATAATAAAAAGATAAAAAAGTGATTTTACATAACCAACATTTAAGAGAACTGATCTTTGTAAAAGGATTCAAGATCAAGCAAAACCGTGATGAAAAGAGTAGTTTTATACATAAAGACGTATTAACGAAGAAAAACGAAGATTAGGGTTCAAACAAACAAGGAAGTACGAGAGTAGAGCGAAGAAGACGATAGGGCAAAGGTACCGAGCGGGGAGGCGATTAAAGTGGGCCCAGAGTTCGTCGTCGAAACCAGGGAGAACAGTCTCGCTGTTGTTGGAACTCTTGAGACGACGAAGGACCTCATTGTAGACCTCGAGCTTCTGCCTCTGCTGCCGAGTCCGTACCGGCGACGATGACGACGTCGTGTCCGGCATTCTACTCCCGCAGCTCTCGTTGTCGTCCATAACCATTGAAGAGGAGAAGAAACACCGAGCGAGAAAAGGAGAGGGGAAATGCCCGAGAAAACACGAGAAAATGCGAGAAAGCTGAGGATCGACTCAGCGGGTCTACGTGAGCGAAGTTGTTCTTGTTTTGTTTTTTGATAAAACAAAACTACAAACCGGGGCTTATTAAGAAGAGAAGAAAAAAAAATAAAAAAAGACGCGGATTTGATGACAGACTAATTAACCGAAAAAGGATTTTTTTTTTCAAGTCTTTGAACTGAAAAAGAAAAACAAAAAATTGCAATGCGATGTTCTATAAATGTGTCATAAATGCAAAAAAAAAAAAAAGTTAATTAAATTTGTTATTATTATTTAAAGTTTTTCCGGTTTCGTGGGCTGAAATTTTCCCCTTTTTTTAATGGGAAATTTTCCGGTTTCGTTTGCTGAATGTTTAACGGCGCAGTGCGCACCCATTGATTCACGCCGACGTGGATTCTCACCCATACTGATCCACCTTCCTTAAATTTCCCCCTTTATTTTTTATTTTTTGCCTTTTCCTTTTATTTCTTTGTAATAATTAAATAATAAGGAAACAAATCTTATATGAGAAAGCAAATCAGGAATCCACCGTATACCACCATGCTAGTTTTTTCACCTTCTATTTTTTTTTTTCTTTTTTTTTTTGAGAATTTAACGATAAAATTAAAAATACTTTTAAAATCAATTTCACCAACAAACAAAATTTGAATTATATAAAATGAACAAAATATGGAAATTCACATCTAAATTTAAATATGTCCTGCCCATAAAGTATTTTGCCTAAAATACTACAAAATTCTCTTCTTTTTTCCACTCCCCTCTTAAAAAATAAGTTAGACCCTGTGGTGTGGATAATATTGTTCTTTTTTTTTTGTGTGCTTAATTGTCAATTCTTGTTTGATATCTGCACCTGAAAAGATCTAAAATTGAAGTCAAAATGGTCGCAATTCTTTTTTCTTTTATAGAAACTATAAGCATCAATTTGGACCCCTAACTATAGTTTTAAGAAAAGGGATTACTTCGGATGTAGTGTTAGCTTTTTTTTTTTTTTTTTTTTAGCGGACCATTATAATAGTTTTAATTAATTAGTGTCTAATATTTTAATAATCCCTATGAATCCGCGATTAAAGAGCCCCCACCTCCAAATCTGACCAATCATATGCCTTCATCCCCTACACACATCACTTTAACATTCTCACTAATTTTTTTTTACCAAAAAGGATAACCCGTCCCCCCATAATGGCATATTCTTGGCGCCCACGGATTTGGATAGGATCATGATGAAAAGACTATTATACCCCTCATTAGTTGGACTGGGCTACAAATCCTCTGCACACCTTCTTAAAATCCAGGAAGGGTGTGGCCAAGACTGTCTCCTAACTGCTTGGAGTAGTAGTAGTCAAACATTAGGGGCATAAATGTAAATTCATCCCACGACGAAAAAAAGACGACCATCTGTCTAATTTTAATATTTAAATAATGTTTAATTAATCATATCATGTAATTTTATTTTAAAAAATTGAGACGCTTATTAATTGACTTTTTCATATTTATTTGTTAAATAGAATGACTATATATAATTAATTAAACACTATTCAAGAGAAAGAAAATTGAACAAGCAATAATAATGCCTTCTCATCGGAAAACAGTTGGATTTGAAACACACAAGCTCATCATGGTCATGTCATGGGGGAAATGTGAGGGGCAGAAAACGACAACAATTTAAATATCTCATATCGTTTTGATGCAGTCTTCTAAGGTGGAGGATGAACCATGACCTAGAGTGATAAGAAAAAAAGCGACGACCTTACTATAAAGGTGGAGCCTTTATTTTTCCGTCTTAAGTAAAGTTGTAATTTGGACAAGAAATTAATGGTTTGTCCCCTTTTCTCTCTCTCTCTCTGTTTTTTTTTTTTTTTTTTTTTCGCCTAATCTTTGGAAGCCAGGATTCCATTCTTTCACTTTAATGAGAATCTGAGTCAGCACCATGTAATGTTTGCTTTTGGGATCAGTACTGACACTTGGCTTAATCCTATGCGCAATAACAACTTCTATCTTCATGTGCCAAGGACCACCATTTTCACGTGTTTTCTTCTTCCCCATCTCCCTTAAGTTCGGAAGTACATGTCTATGTTATGTTACTACTTACTAGTCATCTTACTACTTACTAGGCATTAATGACATATAAATCAACGGCCTAAACGCCCGAAAATCAACAAGACAGTTTTTTTAGTTTTTTTAATTTTTGTTTGAGAGATCACTCTTTTAAGTATGATCAGTTTCTGATTCTTAAATCTGATCAAAACACGTTAGGTTAATATGCAAAACGTACAATTTTTTATACAAATTTAACAGTTAAAAAATATAAACTTTTAAGGGTTATGTTTTTCAGAATCTATCAGAGAAACTCATAGTTATCAACTTATCATATTTTAATTAAATTACAATAAAAATTTCTCACGTGATTTTCAAAATTGCACACGATGAGAGGGTTTATACCAAAATCTTGCCCTTATTTTTGTTAGAAAGATATAGAAGACAGATGGTACAATTAAAGTTGTTGCATCATTGTTTCTAAAAAACATTGCAATCACCTTTATAAGATTGACAATGCATAGTGATGCCACGAAGAATTAAATAGAAGGAAAAAATAGAGTAAATATTTGTATCCAATCAATCATCAAAGCTATTCAATAAAAAGAATAATCATCAAAGTTCGAAGTGAGAAATATAAAATATTTACTCTATAATTTATAGACATAAATTCTGATAATAACCAAATTTCTAATTTAAACTCAAGTAAATCCTAAATAATCCTTATAAATAAAAATGATATAATTCATAAATAACTCTAATTTCAAAGATAATTCTAAAACATTTCAATGCCAAATGTTCATATTCTTATCTGATTAATATGATTGTACAAACATGTCAATATTGACAGAATTATCCTAATAAATACCGTCAAAGTTGACATGATTTAGCTAAATATTTTAAATTTAATGATTAAGCGAAACATATTGAAAAACTAAAATGGCTTATTTCTGTGATGAATGTACGTTTGTATAATTGCTTAACAGAACACAACAATGTTGAAATAAAACAAGGTTCAAATGGTTGTAGGTGTGACGGTAACATAGATGCAGAGTTTAAATTTACCCATTTTCAAGTTTTATTTTTTAAGAAAAAATCAACACGCCATTATTAGGTTATCATGTTTGGTTGGAAGATTCAAACTATGATTTGAATCATGATTCATGGTTCGCTACAGTGTTTTATCTCACAAAATCAACACGCAATTTCTCGTTCTCATCTCCTCACTTTTATTTCAAATTTTAGAAATTCCTTCCCATATGAAAGACATGTCCTTACGGATTTCTCTCCCTATTAGGCCTTTTTTTTTTTTTTTTTTTTTTTTTGGAGGAGGGTATTTTCACAATGAATAAAAATATTGACAACTCCTTTTATTTTAAATTTTTTTTTACAGGTAGACAACTCATTTAGTTACTTAAATAGATTTTTATGATGTGGCTATTTTTTTTTTTAAAAAAAAAAAATA